CATCCACGGCGATGTGGAGAGTGTGAGCCACTGTGTCAGGAGCCCAGGGACCTTCCCATGGTGCAGAACCACTGGCGTAGTCTGGATGATAGCGTTGCAAGTTATCCTTGAAGATTTCTATCGCAGTTTCCAGCAGGGAACAAACTTCCCCTACACAGGCGGTCACGTAGGTGACATTGGTAGGGAGGAACTCGGCCACTTCATTGCCTACGGTGGCTGTGGTAGGCTTTGGCCAGAGCACGCCGTAGGGGCCACAGGTCAGCTTACAAGTGTTAAGCGTCACTAGAGTATCCACACCGGTGTTTTCTTCTTTAACACACCTGTCAGCATCACACCTGTATCCCCAAGGTGACGGTAGCCTGTGGGGAGAAGTGAAACATTTTTAACTTGGGAAAAGGCTGCTGATAAAAAAATAAACTATCTTACCCGTGAAAGGATCGCTTCCCGGCACAAGTGAAACACTGGGCATCTTTCCTTACACCTGCTGCTCCCTGTTCACCTAGCACTAAGTAGGTACCTGGGTTTTAATCGACTGCTGTGTGGCCGCATCCTGGGGAAAAGATTAAAGAACCTTCAATGGAAATAAAACCGACAGTCCCCGATGACGCAGTTTATTGAGCTATCTTGGGTGGAGAACTCTCCGGGTTAAAAATCCAAACAAAATATTGTCTTAAACCAATCAAATTCAAGGTCATGCAGAATGGAGACGATTGAAAGGAGAGTGTGTCCAGCCTACGACGAGACAAGTTACAACTATCAATGACAGAATAGATTACAATAACACAAACACATATCCAAAGAAATTCACACCGTAGAACTCAAATAGCTTATATAAGACAACCTCCGAGCTGCATTAAAGGATTTAAAAAATCTTTCAGAATTTTATAAAAGTATGAGGCCAATCATCGAGTTTGTGACCACGTGGAGCCTTGACGTGTTGAAACTCTTAAAGATCCAAAGGCTACTAGCCTCAGGACCAAGAGGAATGAATTATTACTCTTATTATTATTAAATTTATGGGGGAAGCACTAAAGTCGTAGGAGTCATACAGCACCCAGGGAAAGGGGTACGGGAGGTAATCAGGATTAATCAAAGTGCTAGATAGCTCCAATTCCCAGAATCAAGAGCCCTTTACCGGCATGTCACCCTGAAAGAAAAGAACCGCTAGAAAAAAAAACGAACCTGACGACCTCGGCTGAGAGCCTGGATAGGGGAGACAGGATGATGATTTACAAACTCTTAGGAGAACTTAATATTGTAGCTGGAGATACTGCTTGAATTAAGAGGACTAGAGATAAAGGGGCACAGGTGGAAGACGAATGCACGGATGAGCCATAAGGATCTGAGGATGTATATATTTAATTTCAGAATGGGGGAAAAATTAAAGGAATTAAGTTGTATGAGGAAATGATAGCAAACTATAAAAACTTCAAGAGTAGGTATGAGATCCAAGAGGTCAGAAATCCGGAATACTGACCACAGTGTTATAGAAGGTGGGGTCAGCTGAGTCATGACCCCCACAAACAGTTCGGTGAGTGTCATTTATATTATACATCGACAAGTATGTTAATAAGACAACATGCAGTTTAAGGCATTTCACTAAAAAGTTTTATCCACAGGTCCTATCAACCCTCACAGAAGGTAGGTAGAGAAAATACACAGTATATAGCGAAGAGCTGTGGGAGAGGGGAAGGGATAGAGATGAACTAGTGACAATATATTTGATATACAATACAACACGTAGATAAGCAAGGCACATTTGCAAAAGCTTGGGCGTGACGTCATCTGCAGTAATGTGTTCAGCCATGAGGAAACTGTCAAAGTTTAACTACTTGAAGGTATACCGAAAACGCAGACAAAAATTATTTACTGCACTACACATCTCATCACGACAGAACAAAACAAGGGACTATTATTAGTTTCATTCTAAGGGCACACAGGATATATTCTTCACCCACATTCCCAGAAAACCTTCCTAAAACTTTATCTACAAAATCCATCAATGACTCAGGAGAAGAGCAAAGATACTACACAATGTCAGATTCCAACCAAAGCAGATAGTTTTACCTGACAATAACATAAGCAATAACCTATCTTTTCCAAGGCTAACACCAAAGTTGCTTCCAAAGGCTGAAACACCACTGCCGGCGTTTGCATCTTACTTGTGGAAATTGTGACAAGTTCTACGTTGGTGAAACTTCTAGGGACCTAAACACAAGGATATGCGAACACAGAAGTTCCTGCCAAAGATAACACCGCAATACAGGATCATCTGGTGAACGTCCCCAGCGAAAATTAGTTGCAAAAGAAGCAGACAGACAGAAAAGACTTTGTTTTGAATCTTCATTGATCGCAAACCATTAACATCACCATTCAGAGATCAGCTTCACATTGAATTTCTGAAGCACTGGCCCAATTTATTCTCACCGGATATGATACTGCTATTACATAAACTATACGGAGTACTGAGGTCGGCCTGCTAATCCACCAAATTTTAAACCTCGAGGTTTCCACTTAACTGAACACATTACTGTAAGTAACTTCACTCGCCCATCTTCGCACCTCGTGTCCCAACTATATATACGCTCTCTACCAATCTCTGAGAACTAATAGTCCTGATGGACCAAACTTTTCAATAAAATGCTATATTCCTCACACTCTTATTTACATACAATTCAGTGAACACTTGGCAAGTGAATCGATAAAATCCAAGTCTTTGTAATAAGCAGAGATAAAGGTAAAAAATAATGGACATCGGCCAAAGTAACAGGAAGTTCAGACGAAGATATACTCAGAATTGTGTTATGCATTCTAAATATATTTAAAATACTTGAAATAATGTGTGTCAATATTGCATTTAAAAAGGGGGACAGAAAAGCTCCTCTAAGCTTTAGCTCTGTATCAATGGCAAGCGTAATTTTTTATACAACTGGAGGAAATCGTTGAAGTGATAAAACATCTGTAAGGTAGCACAATGTTAAATCATTAGTTTAACCCTAGACCAGGTAAATCTTGCATATCCAATCCACCGAGTTATGATTAGTTATATGAATTATTCAAGAACGAAATGAAGGGGTGGGCTGTATTTACTGACACTTTAAAAGCTCCTGACAGGGTTCCTCATGTTATGTAGTTAGAAATGACAAAACAGTTTTAAAAGGTAAATTACTTTGGAAGATACGAAAAAAGCCCAGCAGTTTCCTGCCCAGCTACCGGCCCTTGTGGCTGTGATTCCAGTGTGACACTAGTATGTGTAGGGTTATAATGGGTGATTAAAATGAACGTAGTATACTAGAGTGTGTGGTGGTAGAATTATTGTGGGTAAGAGACTTACGTAAAGGTAGTAGCAGTAGCTGGAGCCCAGGTGAGACTCCCCAGCAAGACGATAACACAGTTCACCTCCAACAATTTCATCCTCAATTTCCAAATCCTCGTCTACCTGGGTAATTAAGACACAGGTAAGTTTTGGGCTGCCTATGTTTAAAAAATAATCTTTACCATTTTTTTTTACAAATTAAATGTTGAAGCTCATTAAAGGCTTTAGCAGCATCAACAAAATAAAGTCAACATATTGCTCCCCGTGAAATATCTTGTGTTTACTGTGACCATAAAATTTTAGAAAGCTGTACAAAATTTGTCCCTGAAAGCAAACTGAAACTCACAGGTTAAACTTTTTCAAACAAGCAGCTTAAAACTGTCTAACTTACCAAAAAGTAATTCAAAATATATACAACTCTAGTCCTAATGTCCTAAGTTACATATATTTAGTAACAATTCCTTATCGCCTGAAATTTCTTGCCAATCTGTATACGTATTTGTGTATATATATAATAACTTATAATGAGGTATATTTTCTTAACTTCTTTGAGGATTTTTTATTTAGTATTATCATTAATTATATCATCTTTATTGAGAAAACTACCAAAAATTATTATAGGCTCGATTTTTTTTTTTTTTTTTTTTGGGGGGGGGGTTCAGAAGACTAATATGTCTAATGAATATGCCTTTGAGGATTTAATGCACTTATTCTGACTATTTTTTTTTCAAATCTATTTCTAATAATTTTTGAGAACTATTCATAATTATTAGAAATAATTATGTTAGGCTGTTAGGTTTAATCGACTACACGAGGGTTGTTAAGACTGTGATCCTTATGGATAACCAGCATTGTAAACACTTTAATCCCAGAATACTGAGATAAAAGATTTAGCCCTTGTCATTTTAATAATTATAATAATAAATTTCATTCGTCGCTCAACCTCTGGGACGAGCGGACGTGAGCTGAGCCCTCTGCTGTCACCCGGTGACAACTTCGTTTTCACAAAATGGCGCAGCAGGCAAGAAGGGTAAACACTGTCGGCATAGAAGTGGTGCGTGGGGCTGTGCATGCCCACTCAGCTCAAGTTTTATTACCTGCCATCATCAGGGACACATACGGCATTGCCAACGAAGAGCTGTATGGTGTAGCCTTGAACGGGGCATATAGAATTTTTGTGAAATTTCGCAATGCAAGTGTATACGAAGACATAGTCGCCAGATTCCAAGATCTTTGTGTACCAGTGAATCCTGCTGTGACGGTAAGGCTACATGATGTGTCCCGCCATTATACGTGGGTGAAGATCAGGAATATACCCTTTGAGTCTGATGAGGCAGACCTACGTGCCCTCTTCGAGAAGTTTGGGAGTTCATATGGCGACATTGGGGAAAATGGAAGGAAGGATCATATGTGGGATGCCCGAAGGAAGTTTTTCCCTTTAAAATGACATTGAGGCATCCCATTCCTTCTCATGTTTTCTAGAAGACTTCAGGACTCAAGTAATGGTGGGCCTACGGGGGCAACGACGTACCCGTCGCTTATGCGGTGCCTATGATCACATTGCTGCGCGTGGGGTTAAAAAGACAGGGTTTCACAGGCGGATGAGCAGCATAAGGAGGCATCAGAGGACCTTGCGAGTTGAAAATTTTGGGATGACCTGAGTCGATTTCCTTGAACAAGGCTTGGAGTGTGGGAGGTCGAGGAGGCCGCCTTGAGGGAGGAAGAGTGTGTAACTCTTCCGAGAGTCATGTGCTGCCGGGCAGGCACCAGAGACCAGAGATGTGGTGTCGCTTGGTGAGGACAGGGCCCTGGAGGCTACCCCCTGATTCAGTCCTCCAGACCTGTTAGGGACCCAGGAGAGGTCACAGTTGAGGGGCTTGTGGGTGGCCTGGATACTGCTGGGGTTCCAGGTGGCGAGAGGGGGAGGCATGTCAGAGACCCAGGTTGAGGCTGGGTTGCAAATTGGCGCTGTGGTGGCGGAAGTGCACGTGGATGGCTTCCGGGTGGAGGTGGGGGAGAAAGGCTTGAGTGTCATGGAAGAGAGCGGCAGTGCCCTCGGATGTGGACAATGTGCTCACTCCGGCACAACGTTCGGGCAAAAAGGTTTGGGCTGATGTGGTTGAGCATGGACTTGGGGGGTCCAGGGGCAAGGGGCATGTGAAAGCAGATCACAGAATGGTGATTGAAGATCAAGGGCGTATAAAGGGGAAGGGGGATAAAGGTGGTGTAGTACGTAAAGGAAAACCTCCATTGACAAATTCAAGATTCTCTCTATAAATATTAATGGTCTGAGAAATTATAGGAAGTGTGTAAGGTTTCATGAGCTTCTCATTAGGTATGGTGTAGATGTAGTGTTTGTGCAGAGCACACCACAAGCTGGGTTGTATGTTGATGAATTTAGGGGTATACTGTTATGTGGCACACTCAACGAGGTTGAAAGGAGGAGTGGCTATTTTGGTGAGGGAGGCTAGCCCGGTTTACTGTACATCATTGTGAGGAGGGGGGGGGGAGGGGAGGGTTATAAGAGGGATGGGATGTGGGGAAGGGATAAAAATGTCTTTTGTGTGTGTTTATGGTCCGGCGGAGGGGGACAGCTGAGTGAAGAATGAGTTAGTATGTGAAGTGTTGGTGTATCACTTAAGGTTGCTTCCAGCATTAGCTGTGGTGGGAGGGGACTGGAATTGCGTCATACACCGCAGGGATGTGGAACCTAGGGGAGCAGGATATTGTTCTGGCATTCTGAGGGACCTGTTAACTGGGGTGGGGTTGGTGGATGTGGAGGGGGGGGGCAGCATGGGAGGTGGAGCACACCTTTGTGAGGCAGGGGTATGCTGCACGGCTGGACAGGATATATGTGACAAGGAAAGCAGTGGTGCAGAGTGTAAGGGTTTTGGATGTGTTTTTTCTGATCATAGAGGTGTTTTGGTGGATTTGGGATGGGAGGGTTGGCCAAACAGGTATAAGAGTTGTTGGAAATTGAATGTTCGGTTGCTTCAAGATGTTGAGGGGAAGGTCCTATTTGCACAATGGTGGAAAGGCTTATGGGAGGGGATGGAAGTCAATGGGGATGTGTTGAGATGGTGGGATGTGACAGCAAAGACGAGGATTCGAGAGTTCTATGTACGACAAGGACGGCACGAGAATCATTTGGCTTATGGGCTTATTAGGTATCTTGAGGGGCAGTTAAGGGAGTATTATGAGAGAGGAAGGGGGGGATGGGAGCCCCAGTGGCTGACATAGAGGGAGTGAAGGAACGCCTAATGGGAAGTGCAAAACGAGGGTTTTTGATGCGGCCAGGGTTTTAGAGGGGTGGAGGCATGTGGGGTGATAGACCATCGGCGTGTGTCCTGCGAGGGCTGAGGCACCGGCGTGTTGCAATGGATATGGTGGGTTTGAGGGTTCTTGAGGACATCGAGGGGTATAGGGAGGGACAAGATTTGGTGACAACGGAGGGGGTGGGAGGGTATGTTGATGCTTGGCTTAGTGCATATTGAGGAGTGTGGGGTGAGGAGGGGGCTTTAAGAGAGATGGGGGGATGGGTGCAGGTGGTGCTGGACAGGGACGCGGGGGAACAGTTACAGGGGCCTATGTGGAGGAAGAGGGGTGGCGGCTTTTAAAGAGTATGAGCAGGGGTAAGGTGCTGAGTGAGAGATTACCGGATGATATCACTCATGTGCACAGACTACAAACTTTTTGCAAAAATTTTGGGAAATTGTATAAAGAAAGTCATTGGAAAGGTAATAGTGAGGGGGTCAATATGGGATTCCGGGGAGATCAATGTATGAGGGGCATGGGGTTATTAGAAGGTTTATTGAGGGTTCGCGAGAGGGGGAACGAGGGGTATTGGTGTTGGATTGGAGAATGGCGTATGACAGTGTCGAGAGGGAGGCTCTGTGGAGAATCATGGAGCGGCAGGGTTTCGGGGAGGACACTGTAAATTGGGCACATACTTTATATCAGGGAGCCGGAATGTGTGTACAGATTAATGGGCAGGTGGGGTTTTATGTGAAATGGGCAGGGGATTGAGGCAGGGATGCCCGTTGTCACAAATATTATTTGCATGTTTACAGGAATCCCGGGTTTTTAGGGCAGTGGAAAGGGCATATAGGAGGGGGTAAGGGAGGACATACGAGGTGGGAGTCCCGGTATCATAGGTTATGTTGATGACACAACTGTCCTTGTGAGTGGGAGGGAGGGGTTGGGGGTCTGGAGAGAGTTAAAGATGTTTTTGGGATGGCAACAGGTTGGCAGTGAATGTGCATAAATCCAAAGCTCATGAGATTGGGTGAATGGGATGGGCGGGAGGGTGGGGGTGGGGGGATGAGGTGTTGTGTCGTGGACGGGTGAAAATTTGTGGAGTTGGGGTATATGGGTAATGCTCAGATGGCGAGGGAGGTTAATTCAAAGGGTGTGGTAGATAGAGTATTGGGAAGATTGACAGGATTGCGGCCGACACATCTTACACTTCACCAGAGGGTCATTGTGGTCAATGTGCTTTTGTACAGCAAAATTTGGCATGTGGCGCTTTGTACCCTTTGGTGTATGGGGATGTCGGAGATTGTTGAGCAGAGTTTTCCGTTTTATCTGGGGTTCGGGATGCGATTTGGTTGAAAAGGAGGGTGGAAACTTCGGTGGCCTTGGGAGGGGGTGGGGTTAATTCACTTGGAAAGAAGGTGAGTGTGTATATGTGAAACATGGGTTTCTAAGGGTTAGGGGGGAGGGGAGTGGAGGGTTGGGGATTTCTGCAGGGAGATATTCAGAGATGGTGGGAAAGGGAAAAGGAAATTTTAGAGATGGTGAGGAGTTGTTGCGTCTATTGTGATGGTCAGAGATCCGAGAAACATGTGGGTAGGGTCCATGGAGAGGAATTTTTTTGGGCCCAGGGTGGCAGTGGGGAACGGGAAGGAGTGTAACCGATGTAAGCATGGGAAGACATTTGGGGTTGATGAAAAGGGTTACGCATCCGGCCGAGCGTGAGAGGTAATGTATAGGTTTCTTCACGGAATATTGCCGTCTGGGGTTGTATTACGAAATAGGCAAATAAGGGAGGGTGGGGAGTGTCAGGTTTGTGGGGTAGATGAATCAGCTTTTCATGTAGTTTATTTTTGCGAAAGCCTAGGGGTTGTGCGGGAATGGTTAGGGAAAGTAATCCGGTATGTGGGGGGGAAAGGGTTGTCGGTTTTGAGAGCGCTCAGTTTAGATGTAGGTGGGGTAGGGGTAAAGGTTCAAAGGGCAGTGGCTTACTTAGTGGTTGATTTCGTGTTTATATCATGGGCAATGAGAGACAAAGGGGCAGAGGAACGTAGGATGGCCATAGCAGCATCCTTTTATAGAACAAAGTGTCGCAACAGGGAAATATATGGTAGGAGGTGGGAGAGGGATTTCTCGGAGGGCTATAGGGACTTTCTTTTGAGGGATTTATGGACTTTATAAGCGGTAAGGGGCATGAACGGGCTGGCCTTCCCCGGGGGAAGGGGGTTGTGTGTGTTGCAGAGGTCGATTGTGTGTGTGTGGAATTGTGTGAGGAAAGGATGTTGAGGTGAGTTTTGAGTGTGACACATTAAGAGGTGTGATAGGTTTTCTCCAATAGGATTAACGCCAATTGTTTGATAATCTACTGCTTTATTATACATATTGTGTGTGATAATATTGATTTACGGTAATGACATTGTAATTTGGAGTTTTACTCAAATAATTGCATGTATTTGCTCCAACTTGTTTTCTAGGTGCCTTGCACTGCATAGTGTTGACGCTGTGATCATGCATGGTGTCCAGAGATATGCTGTGATAAGTTTGTATTAATGTCTGTGCATTATTGTTCGTCACTGGTGATTGTAATTTTCAGTTTTGTTTTGAGAGTAAAGAGTTTAATGTACGTCAGATGGTGTAAATAAAATTGGGCAACAGTGGTGTTATAGGTTTTTGTGGTTAGGTGTGCGCTAGGCACAGTCTTTATGAGTTACTTATGCCATGGTTATATTTTATGTTGTATTGTACTGTTGTCAATAGCACTATGTTATGTCCATATAAGCTGTATAGAGCTTGAATGTCATAGTTGAAGCTGTGTTATTGTTTTTTTAACGTTTGGAATTGCATGTTTAAATGTGCAGCTTACATGTGTTGGGTTTTTGAGACTAAGTTTATACCTATGGCTTTGTAATTTTGTATGTCTTTGTGACTTTTCTATATCACCAATGTTGTGTGATACATATTATGTAACTGAAGCATTAGGACAATTACATAAATTAATGTTTTGATCATTGCTGTGTGACATTAGATTAGGTAACATCCATTGTTTGTAGTATATTAGGTTGTAAATAGTGGGGTGGTTGGATAACCACGGGGGCGGGGGCAATATGTCTGTATAATATGTTCAGTGCAATGAATTGCATGATCTGTAGTCGATTACATCATCAAAGTGGGAAGAAAATGGATGTACAGATTAATTACCATTTCGAGGGATGTGTATATAAGTGTTGTTTATACGTATTGTGTAATTCTGTTGGGTAGCTCCAACAGGTTTGGGTTAAGTGATAGGATGAGGGACAGAGGGGGGGGGGTTGTACCCACACGGAGTTGTAAGTGTGGTGTGTAATGTTAGCTGTAGGTAGGACTGTGTTAATTTTATAGCCCTACATGAGTTTTATATATTATATTTTTGTAATGTGTTTTAAATAAAATATAAAAAAAAATAATAAATTTCAATGTTCATAATATTAGTATATCAAGTAATATATTACCTTAAAATCCTATGTCATGACACCTTAATAAGCAGCCTCTTATCAAGTAAAATATTACCTTTATATGCACATTCTGTCTTGAGTAAATATATTTATATGTAATAAGGAGTTAATACATATGTGTCGTGAGTTAACACATATGTGGTAAGACGTTAATACATATGTGTGTGATAAGAAGTCACTATACACATATGTAGCAAGAGGTAGAGGAAGAGAAGTTTAAAAAAAATTATCTAACTAGTTGTAAGGAAACTGGTAATACATGTGATGGTTCTCACACATGTATGTTATCTCAGCCCACTCTTAAAGATTCTGCCCTTCAAGAGGGAGGGAGGGTACCTTGATGCTGAGGATGGGTGCCTTGATGCTGAGGATGGGTGCCTTGATGCTAGTGACGGGCTCTTGATCTAAAGAAATGAAACTACAAACCAAACCAATTGTCTCCCATACCCTATGCGCTATATAACCCCTACAAGTCATTTATTTCGATTCAATTCTCGCAGCTTACCTTCACACAAATCCACATAATTCTTGGATTTAAAAACATACCCCCTCCTTTCTTTCCACATTTCAGCATTTAATCTTACCAACACTCCATTTTTAGTTCTCTCAGATACACCCAATATTCCTCCACACTGGAACTCTCCCTCTCTAATTTTTGTGTCAGTTCTAGGACATTCAAGTTCTTTTCTTTCATACAAATTCTTTCTTGTCACTTGCACTATACCCACACATATTAATTGTTATTATTGATTTTACAGTGATTATTATTATTCCAAAAGCAATAAGCCCGTACGTAAGGTTCATACAATATTTTGGAAATGAAAGGCAAGAGGAAGCAATCCCGTAGCTCGAGCGCTAGCGCACTCAGCTCACACACTAAGTCCGGGGGTCGATCCCCGGTACGGATGAAACATTTGGTCGTATTTCCTTAAGACACCTGCTATCCATATTCACCTATCCGTAAAATAGGTACGTGGGTGTTAGTCGACTGGTTTTAGGTCGCATCCTGGGGACAAAACTGACCTAATTTACCCGAAATGCTCTGCATAAAAAGGGGCTTTCTGTATATTATTATGTCAGAAATAAATATTATTACCTGAGAAAAGGTAAATTACCTCTAAATTTCACAGATCAAAAGGACCTTCATTATCATCAATGCACTTTTCCCCCCAGGCCTCCCTCATAGGTAGGGCAAATAATATAAAGAAGTCTTGGACTGAGAGAGAGAGTGGCGTCATTTAGTGAAAGTGAAGCAGGTGAAAGCAGGCGATACAACTTTCCAGTATAACAGGTATCCATGGAATTGATAATACTGTTTTATTTGTATTGTTATTATTAACCACAATGACAGGATGAACAGTGAATCAGTCAGCCTAAACTGTGTGGTGGGGACTATATACGCCATCTAACTTCATCCAGTTGTACATATATATATTGAAGATACAGAAATGACACTAATTCGAACTGGATGATAAGACTTTATAAGGTTGAATAACTGTGTTGAGGCTGCCGCTAGGCTAGCCTTGGCCGCCATAACTTTCACTTATCTGATATGACTAGGACAAATTTTTAAAGGAAAGGAAATATAGAAAAATGGAAATAAAGACTCTGAAAAAATTAGGGATAATAATCAATGAGAGAATTGGGAATAAGAAACAATGAATCTACGGGCAATGCAAGATGAAAAACTATAGGAATGATAGATGAAAAACTACAGGAATGATAGATAAAAACTACAGGAATGATAGATAAAAAACTACAGGAATGATAGATAAAAAAAATGCACACATTAATAAGAATAATAGATAAAATAATAGATAATACCCTTTATCATCATAGCCTCTGAAAAAAAAAAACACATAACAAAAACAAAGGTCTGCTTTATGCCACTGTTATTCGCTATTCCAAATTTAAAATCTGGATACATTATGAAATATACTAGTGATGTTTGAGATGAGAGCAGCACCCTACCTTGTATGAGAGACGGAGCCAAGAGACAATCACCTTGTCCTCTCTGTGGCTGCTGGCTGACTGAGTCTTGTGGTCTCTGCTGTCTTCACTATGCTCTATCACACCACCTCTACCACCATCCATATCCCCATGGTGGTGATAATGGTAGGCTTGGTTCTAGTGGGGGTGGTGGTGCTGGTAAGGGTGATGGTAGTATTGGTAGCGGTGAAGGTTGGTGGTGTTGTGGTGGAGGTTGGCGGTGGTGGTGTGGTGGAGGTTTAGTGGTGGTGGTGTGGTGGAAGTTTAGTGGTGGTGGTGTGGTGGAGGTTTAGTGGTGGTGTGGTGGAGGTTTAGTGGTGGTGGTGTGGTGGAGGTTTAGTGGTGGTGGTGTGGTAGAGGTTTAGCGGTGGTAGTGTGGTGGAGGTTTAGTTGTGGTGGTGGTGCAAGACACCTGACATTTAACAGTGTATACTCTTCCTCGTACAGTGAACAACCAGATACACAACCAGTACCAACAATACCACCAGTCCGATAACATTCTTCTTTGCAAATATACAGGGTCTAAAGCCAGCAACAAACAACAAAATACCTTTCATCCGTGGACTGCTTGCAGAGGCAAAGGCAATGTTCGCGGCTTTCACTGAGACCCACATAAAGGATCACTTGGACAACGAAATATGGATCCCAGGTTACAACCTATACAGATGTGACAGAGTGAACAGGCAAAAGGGGGGGGGGTTGGCCTGTACATTGCAGAGTCACTTGTTTGCACAGAACTGCTTAATGCCTCAAATGATGTAGTGGAAGTTTTAGCAGTAAAGGTCGAGAACCAAAACCTAGTCATTGTGGTAGTCTACAAGCCTCCGGATGCAACATCCAAGCAATTCCAGGAACAGCTGTTAAAAAATTGACCACTGTCTGGAAAATCTTCCAGCTCCTGCACCCAACATCTTGCTCCTGGGGGATTTCAACTTATGGCACCTAAAATGGAGGAATATAGCAAATAATATTGTTGCAGAAATAACACCAGGAGGCAGCTCTGATGAAAACTCACACTCACACGAGCTTTTAAATCTCTGCACAAAATTCAATTTAAACCAGCAAATAATAGAGCCTACTAGACTGGAGAATACACTAGACCTCATCTTCACTAACAATGATGATCTGATAAGAAATGTCACCATATCAAAAACAATATACTCAGATCACAACATAATTGAGGTTCAGACATGTATGCGTGGAGCCCCAGACCGACATAATGAGACTAGTCACGAGGGAGCATTCACCAAATTCAACTTCAATAACAAAAACATAAAGTGGGACCAAGTAAACCAAGTCCTAACCGATATAAGCTGGGAAGATATACTAAGCAACACAGACCCCAACTTATGCCTAGAAACAGATTAACTCGGTGGCACTCGATGTATGCACAAGGCTTATTCCTCTAAGAAAAAGGAGGAGTAGATGTAAAATAGAAAGAGACAGGCAGAAAAGAATAATGGAGCGGCTAAAAGAGGTCAATATATCTGAAATGCGTAGGGAAATAGCAAGCATCGAACTTAAGCTAAAAGAATCCTTTAGGAGTCAGGAATCGCGGGAAGAACTAAAAGCCATAAATGAAATCGAAAGAAACCCAAAGTATTTCTTCTCCTATGCCAAATAAAAATCGAGAACAACGTCCAGTATTGGGCCCCTACTTAAACAAGATGGGTCCTACACAGATGACAGCAAGGAAATGAGTGAGCTACTCAAGTCCCAATATGACTCAGTTTTTAGCAAGCCGCTAACCAGACTGAGAGTCGAAGATCAAAATGAATTTTTTATGAGAGAGCCACAAAATTTGATTAACACAAGCCTATCCGATGTTATCCTGACGCCAAATGACTTCGAACAGGCGATAAATGACATGCCCATGCACTCTGCCCCAGGGCCAGACTCATGGAACTCCGTGTTCATCAAGAACTGCAAGAAGCCCCTATCACGAGCCTTTTCCATCCTATGGAGAGGGAGCATGGACACGGGGGTCGTCCCACAGTTACTAAAAACAACAGACATAGCCCCACTCCACAAAGGGGGCAGTAAAGCAACAGCAAAGAACTACAGACCAATAGCACTAACATCCCATATCATAAAAATCTTTGAAAGGGTCCTAAGAAGCAAGATCACCACCCATCTAGAAACCCATTAGTTACACAACCCAGGGCAACATGGGTTTAGAACAGGTCGCTCCTGTCTGTCTCAACTATTGGATCACTACGACAAGGTCCTAAATGCACTAGAAGACAAAAAGAATGCAGATGTAATATATACAGACTTTGCAAAAGCCTTCGACAAGTGTGACCATGGCGTAATAGCGCACAAAATGCGTGCTAAAGGAATAACAGGAAAAGTCGGTCGATGGATCTATAATTTCCTCACTAACAGAACCCAGAGAGTAGTCGTCAACAGAGTAAAGTCCGAGGCAGCTACGGTGAAAAGCTCTGTTCCACAAGGCACAGTACTCGCTCCCATCTTGTTCCTCATCCTCATATCCGACATAGACAAGGATGTCAGCCACAGCACCGTGTCTTCCTTTGCAGATGACACCCGAATCTGCATGACAGTGTCTTCCATTGCAGACACTGCAAGGCTCCAGGCGGACATCAACCAAATCTTTCAGTGGGCTGCAGAAAACAATATGAAGTTCAACGATGAGAAATTTCAATTACTCAGATATGGTAAACATGAGGAAATTAAATCTTCATCAGAGTACAAAACAAATTCTGGCCACAAAATAGAGCGAAACACCAACGTCAAAGACCTGGGAGTGATCATGTCGGAGGATCTCACCTTCAAGGACCATAACATTGTATCAATCGCATCTGCTAGAAAAATGACAGGATGGATAATGAAAACCTTCAAAACTAGGGAGGCCAAGCCCATGATGACACTCTTCAGGTCACTTGTTCTATCTAGGTTGGAATATTGCTGCACACTAACAGCACCTTTCAAGGCAGGTGAAATTGCTGACCTAGAAAATGTACAGAGAACTTTCACGGCGCGCATAACGGAGATAAAACACCTCAATTACTGGGGGCGCTTGAGGTTCCTAAACCTGTATTCCCTGGAACGCAGGAGGGAGAGATACATGATTATATACACCTGGAAAATCCTAGAGGGACTAGTACCGAACTTGCACACGAAAATCACTCACTACGAAAGCAAAAGACTTGGCAGACGATGCACCATCCCCCCAATGAAAAGCAGGGGTGTCACTAGCACGTTAAGAGACCATACAATAAGTGTCAGGGGCCGAGACTGTTCAACTGCCTCCCAGCATACATAAGGGGGATTACCAACAGACCCCTGGCAGTCTTCAAGCTGGCACTGGACAAGCACCTAAAGTCAGTTCCTGATCAGCCGGGCTGTGGCTCGTACGTTGGTTTGCGTGCAGCCAGCAGCAACAGCCTGGTTGATCAGGCTCTGATCCACCAGGAGGCCTGGTCACAGACCGGGCCGCGGGGGCGTTGACCCCCGGAACTCTCTCCAGGTAAACTCCAGGTATCAGTACATTTGAAATAAATTCTTAATTATATTATATATTAAGAGATACTCAAGTTATATGTATATACACTGAGAACTTACTTTAATTCTTATTTTAAAAATTAAAGTATTCTTGAATGGTTGTGAACAGGTTACACGCAGCCTCCATGACCTTGTAGCTGTAGACTTTAAACCCCATTAACTACTCAACCAAAAAAAAGGCATGTCACCAATAATAAGAGGCATTATGTAGGTAAGATTAGAGGCAGGCAGGCAGGCAGGCAGGCAGGCAGGTACGTTGACAGGCAGGCAGGCAGGCAGGCAGGCAGGCAGGCAGGCAAGTACGTTGACAGGCAGGTAGGCAGGCAGGCAGGCAGGTACGTTGACAGGCAGGCAGGCAGGCAGGCAGGTACGTTGACAGGCAGGCAGGCAGGCAGGCAGGCAGGCAGGCAGGCAGGCAGGTACGTTGACAGGCAGGCAGGCAGGCAGGCAGGCAGGCAGGCAGGCAGGCAGGTACGTTGACAGGCAGGCAGGCAGGCAGGTACGTTGACAGGCAGGCAGGCAGGCAGGCAGGCAGGCAGGTACGTTGACAGGCAGGCAGGCAGGCAGGCAGGCAGGCAGGCAGGCAGGCAGGTACGTTGACAGGCAGGTAGGCAGGCAGGCAGGCAGGCAGGCAGGTACGTTGACAGGCAGGCAGGCAGGCAGGCAGGCAGGCAGGCAGGCAGGCAGGCAGACAGGCAGGCAGGCAGGCAGGCAGGCAGGCAGGCAGGCAAGCAGGTACGTTGACAGGCAGGTAGGCAGGCAGGCAGGCAGGCAGGCAAGCAGGTACGTTGACAGGCAGGTAGGCAGGCAGGCAGGCAGGGAGGCAGGCAGGCAGGCAGACAGGCAGGCAGGCAGGCAGGCAGGCAGGCAGGCAGGCAGGTAGGCAGGGAAGCGGGTAGGTAGGTAAGCAGGTAGGTAGGTAGGCAGGCAGGTAGTAGGCAGGCAAGTAGGTACGTAGGAAGGAAGGCAGGCAGGTGGGTACGTAGTCAGGTAGGTAGGGAAGCAGGAGGTGTATAAATTTACTGAAAAACATTCATGCACACTTCATCTCAAGGATCCTTATTATACCACGCGGCATTTGTTTCGTCAATCCTGCGCGCGCGCATGCGCGTACTCTCATCCCCCTCCCCACATACACTCTGGGGAAGATTCATATCAAGCAGGTAATTAAAGGGAGCACGAAAAATACAGCCCATGGCTTATTCAGGAATGCAGAGAGGCCCAGTGGAAGTATTACAAGACTTGGAAGAAGTACAGAGCAAATTAAACCGCACAAAACTGGGGAAACGGTAACAGAAACTAATACCCTCTCTTAGTTACTCAATGGTAATAACCATAACCATAGTTTTTAAAGGGGTGGACCGGTAAGCCAGCAGAAGGCCTCAGTCAGATGACCAAAAGCTCTAGCTGCGGGTCATGATACAAGTACGACCCAGCGTCAGGAAACCTTATCCTTTTCTTGAAAAACCCAAACCCTGCCCTAATCCCAGAATAAAAATGGGGGTGAAAGGCAATTTGGTTTATTTAAAATCAAACGTAAAAAAGTGAACCAAATATACTCAGAAAAAAAAGAAATGACAAACAAACAAGGGTACGAAGAACTTACAATGTTTCAGACCTTGAGTGTGTGCAGATGTAGAAGTATTTTAAAATATTTATAACTGAAAAAGGTTTGGGAAAAATATTTTCTGTAAAATTTAAAGAAGACCGAGTCACAATAACAAGGATCATTATGAAATAAATAATGGTAAACAATGGTTTACTTACTAACAACTATAAGTAAAAAACATGGAAATTAGGTATCTTTTTTTCCGAAACGTTTGCCCTTCACAGTAGGGTTTATCAGTTGAATCAGAGGACTCAAGAAATCGTAAAGACACGTTAAAATAAACATACCCCCGGCCGGGGTTTAACCCCCGGTCTAGTCCAAAACTCCAGCCTCGCGTAGCCACTAAAAGCTGCCAAATAAGATTATCCAAATAGGTATTTTCTACAATAGGAAAATTAGCACAGGACCTTGTGACCACAAAAGCAAATTTTTTTCGCGAATCTCCACTAGGTGGCCGTGACGAATCTAGCTCAAGTCCCTTCACTCCGTCAACATGATCAAGAATTTGTAATGACCGATTTCAATAAAAAATACCCCGGGGGGGGATTGAACCCGCGGTCAAGAGTTCAAACTCCAGCCCCTCGCGTTAGCCACTAACCCAGCAGCCACAAAAGATTCATCCAACTAGTTTGGGTGAATTTATTTTGGTAGTGGTCTAGTGGTAACGCGACGGGCTGGAGTTTTGGTATGACCGCGGGGTTTATCCCGGCCGGGGGGATGGAATCAGGGAGTCGTTATTTTATTATAAACAAGGGGGGGGTTCTAAACCCGGGGGATTTTAAAACCCTGGGGGGGGGGGTGTGGAAGGCTTCAGGCTTAATTCGGGGAAATGGAGCACAGATCCAATTCCCAAATCAAGGCCCCTCACCAGCATCAAGGAACCTTCCTTGAGGGTAGGAGTTAGTAAAGCAGTGGATATATCAAGATTAATTACCCATCATCTTCGAAGACGTAGTTTTAAGATAACAGTCCTCAGTCTATGCTATTGAAGGCTCTTTTTTTCAAGGTACCGGAGCTAATAATAGGTGGTATGTTTGTATCCGGCTAAGCGCTCTCAGTCCTAAAACCGTTTTTTCCATTCGTAAATCCATTCTGTGAAGGATACGTGTAGGGGTCATACACAATCCCCCCCACTCCTTCACTTTTCTTGCCCACTCCTGTAATTCAGCTAGTTTTATAAAACGCAGGATTTTCTTTTTTTCTGTATCCATGCTGTCTAAACAAAGATGATTACTAGGTTATGATTATTATTAATAATTGGGAGGTTGCGAAAGGCAGTAAAAAATTGATTTTTTTTTTTATTTTATGTAGTAGTACCATATTTTATTATTGTTATTACGAAACCCTTAGACCCGTAATGTAATGTCAGTACCAAATTTTTTCCCAAAACATTGCCTAAGACACTTGGCCGTTGTGTGTGTGTGTGTGTGTGTGTGTGTGGTGTGTGTGGTGGTGTGTGTGTGTGTGTGTGTGTTGTGTGGTGTGGTGGTGTGTGGTGGTGTTGTGCGTGTGTTTGTGTGCTTGTGCGTTGTGGTGTGTGTGTTGTGTGGTTGGGGTGTGGGGTGGTGTGTGGGGTCGTGTGTGTTGGTGTGTGTGTGTGTGTGTGTTGTGTGTTGTGTGGCGTGTGTGTGTTGTGTTGTGTGGTGTGGTGTTTGGGGTGTGTGGGGTGCGTGGTGTGTGTGTGTGTGTGGTGGTGTGTGTGTGTGTGTGGGTGGTGGTGTGTGGGTGTGTGTGTGTGGTGGGTGTGGTGTGTGTGCTGTTTTCAGCCCGTCACCACTCTCACGCATCAAAATATCCAAAGTTTGGGGTGCTGGTTTTTAAACCCCCCTTTTTTAATTTAAAGCTGTTGTTGTCATGCATTCATTAACATTACTGGGATTTGCAAAACCCGTAGGGGTAATACAGCGCCTGGGAAATGGGAGGCAACTATATACAGCTCAGGGAAGGGAAGAACAGTACTATTTCTTTATATCAAAAGTTTCAAATTGGCATCAAGGTACCCTTTTCCCCTACTCGTACAACAGTGCCATGCACTCATATAAGTGTCATGCACTCATACAAGTGCCATGTACTCATAAAACAGAGTGCAGCACAGAGCCTAATATTACTTGACAAAACTTTGCAGTCTAGCAAGACTTGATAAAGCTGTACACAGCGAAACATGACGTCATTAAAGACTACACAGAGGGACAACATTGTCATAAAGTTCTACACAGAGCGGGTCTTATTCATATGATGGCCCACCGCTGGAGCTTTTGGTCATCTGACCAAGGCCTTTCGTTGGCTTACCGATCCATCCCTTTAAAAATTAGGGCTATAAATATCTCCGTCGCCCTGCGTTGCTGTGTTCCTAGTGTCAAGTACGGTGTGGTGGTGGATTAGAGAAAGTAGCGATAAAATTGGACGATGCGGTGGTGGATTATAGAAGGCTTGGTATTTGCTCAGGCTGATGCGGCAATTATTCGGATGACTGGCTAAAAAATAGGGTATTTGATAAGGCATTGACCTGGTGAGTGCTATCATAGGTAAGTGCCTACTGAGGTAAGCTCCCCACACCACCCATCCTGTAGCGACGAGCGTGAGGTTTTCGACGATTTAAGCATTGATACTGTCTATCGTGTCATTTGTTACACAGCAGTTTGTGTAACGGCATTATTGATGGTTAAATATATACGAATATAGATAAATAAAGAAGCCTTACATATTATTATTATTAATAGTAATACATAGTGATATATGTACATAGAAGCTATAAAACCGTAGGGGTTATATAGCACCTAGGGCAGAGAAGGCAACAGCTTTCATCCAATTAAGGGATGGGTCGCCCCAGTTACATGGATCAAGAGCCTTTCACCATGGTAAAACACCCCACTAGAATAAACGTACATAAGTTTGGTATCTTTAATTTAGTTGATAAGGCTGGGAAACCAGCGTTTGGATACAGCTGTCTTCTCTGATTGATAAAACTCTCGCTGTTAGGATAGGACGGTTCCCTGGGCCTGGTCCGGGACCGTGGTATGGGGGCCATGACTCCAGGAGGTATCAACAGGTTAGTATAATTTGATTAAAGGTATATAATACCTAGAAGTTTTTGAATTATACGCAGAAGGAACACATCGGTATCTATATTGTTGCACAAGCATTACTTTACTCATCAACAAACGAACAGGTCAGATGAGGTCACTGAGGTTGAGGTCAGAGGTCAGTTTCCTCAAGGTAAAGAGTGTCGTTCCACTTGGCCATTAATTTAAACCTTAATATATATATGCAATGTACAATCTCCGTATGAACTTCACATATAATAACATAATAGTCAGACCCTTGTTTTCACATTGTAATTCGCGTTCAATCCGTATAGGTCACACACTAAATGTCCTAATACATCAAATCTGTATACTCTGCATAAGTAGTTTTCAACTCACAGATGTACCGTAATGGTATAGTTTCTCACACTCAGGTATAAAGCAATCAACTGTGTATAAAAAGTTTATAGTTATTATTTTATATAAACATATATATATATATATAAAATATATATATATATATATTATATATATATATATATATATATATATATATATATATATATATAATATATATATATATATAATATATATATATATATTATATATTATCTAATTTCATAATTCACATCATATAATTTCATTTGAAACAGTAGGTAATTCAGTGCCTGGGGAATAAGAGGTAATCAGGTTTGATAGACGGAAAGAGTACCCCTAACTGCTTGGATTAAGAGCCCTCAACAGCATCAAGGCACTTGAATACAGTACTACAGAGAAGATACACTGCAGGTGCAGACTGCCGTGTCTGACACAACCCTGCAGTGGTGATCGTGTTTTATTTGCCAAAGTACAGAAGTTCCTCTTGACTAGTCTTAAGTCATATGTTAACTTATTATTATACTTTCTATCCCTTTTTTAATTCAAAAGGCTGTCTCCCGGTAAGGTGGGATGAGCCAAAAAATAAAACACATTCACAATCATTCATTCAATCGACTTTTTTCCGGATACAGGAGGATCCCCTCCCCCATTCACAGTGATTCGCTTTACGGCATTTTGTTAATGCAGCGGTTTTCAATTATACCTATTCACCATTTATTCAGATTTCCTACAATAAATATATTCACCACTCACTATAAGCTAAGGACGAAAATATTTTAAGGTAAATAATGTGTACTGTATATGCATTTTTTTAGGCCTAGCTTTACTGCTCACTTAATAAACATGTTATCAGGTTTTTATATACATTTGAAAGTGAAGAAAACTGTTTCACTTTACAGCAATTTTAGCTTTACAGCCGTAGCCAGGAACCTAACTTGCTGCATAAGTGGGGCCCTTCCATATTATTATTATTTTGACAGGTGTTGTAGAGTCATCGCTCTCTTAAGTTACCTCAATATTATCTTAAAAATCTCGTAGTTATCGTTGTTCAAGATGTATCTTAATAGCACTAGTTAAACACTTAATTTTGCACTAATATTTGGCAAGTCAGTAAAATAAATGGACATGGGCCAAGCCTATGTTATACTGTTTTGATAAAAAATATAATTATTCCCTAGAACAAGTGTATAAATACCATTAACGACTGTCTTGACAACACACATGACAACAGTCTCCCTGATACGACTTTTATCAAATGCGGACCAGTGACTGCTTCAACATCCTCTGGGTTAAGGGAGCTAGGTTGCTCATCCCAATTAAAAATAACTAAAGATCACTACCCAGCAGTTCATCTTATAATTCTTCATTGGTATACAACATATATATTTTCATTGATCTAATATATAGTTGTACTTAATATAAGGAATTCTTAATATAATAATGAAGCTGGTGTATTTAGCTAAAATTATTCGACATTTTTCTGGTTACTTTGCTACTGATTTATTTAGCTGATAAATGGCGCAGGTGAAAAATTTACATAACAAATAGTTCCAGTAACTTGGATTAATAACACCGATGAGAGGTGTATAACTTGATTACACAGGGGAGTATGTACCGAGAGGTATTATCTATCAGTGTACACACATTCAGGCGTGTATGCGTATATACAACAAGAGGTGTGTACATTTCCGTGTGCGTATACAAACAGGCGAGATATCTGTGTAAATACACCGAGGTGAGCATGTACACTAAAAAGTGTGTCTGTGTACATACCTATAAAGGGGTGTGTGTGTGTCTGCACCTCTTAGCGTATCTTTCAGCATGGATACACTGAGAGGTGTATATAGCTAATTTATTTACACCTTTAGACTTCCTTGCTACTCGCTGTCATAGAAAATTAATATCATGCATTCATTTAATATAATCCCTATAATTACCATCGTAGTTCCACGTGTTAACACAAAAATTAAACTAATGCACCGTCTTGCACACAGGCACACTGCAGTGGCACTATGAACAAAAATACAATTGAAGAAGCAGGTTCTCTCACCAGCTTAACATCAAAGACCTGGTCCCACCACTCTTTACACCTGATGTAAAATAAACATTAATATATTCCTTGTAGATCATTGGTGACAGCTCACAGGTAACAGTGACCTTCGTTCTGGCGGCACCATTCGGGCTGGACACGCTGGGCCATAATACCCCTCCTGACCAGTCGTTGTCTGTGGTGGACGAAGCGGGTCTCTGCGGCTTCCCAGTTGGTGTCTGGGTTGGTCCACAAGCGCTCAGCCAGAGCCGCTCCACGGGGCCAAAGCTGGAGCAGATATTAACGCATGTCATCTTTAAAAGAATATATACCATGGTTTCTATAAGTATTATCCAGAAGGCAGAGGAAGTGTTGGCGAGGTGGTTTGGACATTCAGAGAGGATGGAACAAAATAGAATGACTTGGAGGGCATATAAATCTGTAGTAGAAGGCGGGGTAGGGGTCGTCCTAGAAAAGGTTGGAATGAGGGTGTAAAGGAAGTTTTGTGTTTGAGGGGCTTGGACTTCCAGCAAGCGTGCGTGAGCGTGTCCGATAGGAGCGAGTGGAGGCGAATGGTTTTTATGACTTGACGTGCTGTTGGAGTGCGAGCAATGCAACATTTATGAAGGGATTCAGGGAAACCAGTTAGCCGGACTTAAATCCTAGAGGTGGGAAGTACAGTGCCTGCACTCTAAAGGTATGTTGATATATTGCAGGTTTTTAATTGCAGTGTAGGCACGCCTTTGGCAAGATGGTGACGAACTGATGATGATAAAAGTGTTTCTTTTTCGGGTCACCCTGCCTTGGTGGGAAACGGCCAGTGTTAATAAAAAATACAATGAGCTGGATCCGAATGGTTTACTGTGCTGCCGACAATAGTGAAGAAGACATTTTGCAGAATAAGCTGTTATTGGGACAATGTTTTGTTCTACTTAGAATATTACTGAGCTTTATGAAACTCTACACAGAGCGAAAATTTCCCCCTTAAAAAAGCTTCTTCTGCAAAGTGTTTTTCCTGTCAACAACACTACAAAGCATATTTTTAACATAGCCTATTATTCATTTCAGTATAATGTACACAGATTAGGTTATTTAAGATATTACTCACCTTTGAATCTAGAGTGGTGTCGTCCACATGATGACTCCAGAGGACTGCCTCTCCTCCAAGAATAAGATTTCTGTGTGAAGATCCAGTAAGTGTTGCTGAAATGTTGTTCGGACTGTTGTCGTAGACGGCTTGCCAGCCCTTGTAGTTAATACACCAACTTTTACCACTAGGACTCAGGTTTCCAAACCCACATCCCAAATTCCAGGCATCCTGGTTGCTGAAGATAACCCGATAACCCTTTGTTAGTAGGCTCTTGATCATCTTATCAGTCCTATTCGTTAGGATCTGGATGATATATTGCTGTGGGTCTAGGTGACTCTCAATGCGATCCTTCTCCGTAAGTTGAGAGGTCCATAAGATGCCAGGAATCTGTTTACCCTGGTTGGCTTGAGTAAGGAGGTCGAGAGCAGACTTCTGGAAGCTTCCCCAAAGTCTGTAAAACGATTCGTGGTCTCGGCCATGGCCCTCTTTCTCTAGATGGGCCACGATCTCTTCTGTCGTGTTCCAGCAGTTAAGGTTCACCTGGGAAGAGATACCACGACAGTGATAGTGAAACCACCAAATAATAATATACACTACTAAAGGTGTCACGTGTACATTAATATAACTTATTACAAAACATGTTAATTTTAATATGGCCTGATTATATTTCAAGCCGTCAGTATGATAGGGGTACCTCACTGTGGGAGTCTGAAAGAAAATGATGAAAACAAAGAAACAATTGTATCAGTTTAATCTCTACCATTATTCTTTCTCATAAGATATGCTTGAATGAGGGGACAGGGGATATTGAATGCCAGTGACACCTTCCTTGGTAGCTGAGGTGACACAGATGTTGACATCAAGTTAAAATGAGTTTAGTCTTTTAGGAGACTGAAAAAAATAGAAATAAAAAAATTGTATACAAGAGTGACAGTCTTTCATTCGTTTCTGGTTGGAAAGTTTAATGTAACTCCTAGTCTTCTCAACCAGAACCGAGCCGCGATTCTCACTACTAGGCTAAAGCAGATGGTGTTAATCCTTCATATATGTTAGTAGTAGTGCATGACTGTACTGCTATTAGTGAATGATAGCTTGAGCTTCCACCCCTCATCTGAATGACTCATGTTTAGCATTTCGTATAAAAAAATAAGAAAAGGTGAAGTTCAGCATTAGCTACCTTGCTTCCTCCGAAATGAAACAGGTCAAGCGGAGAGAAAATGTCCAGCAGTTCCTTGTAGATCTGAGCCAAGATGTTGTACGTGTTGTTGTTGATGATGTTGAGTTGACCACAGGGCGGCTCCACACAGTATGACTGCCACGGCTCCTGTACCAAGCATACCACTCAATAATTTTTCTACAGACAGTCAATTTAAGTACATGTCACATCGTGATATTTCATTTTCTAAAACCATTATCAGGCTGACTGCCAAATTATTTAATTCATTATAAACATTATCAGGCTATTTTTTACTGAATCCCGAATCTTAGTAAATCTTTTATGATAACATTCACAAACTAATATCACACAGATTAAACCTTCCTCTATCTATACTAGATTATAATTACGTGGAAATTTTCTAGCACCTGGCACTGATATGTATATACTGATAGTTTACTTTAATCCTTATTTAGGGATCAAAGTATATATACGAATCTGTTGATTAAAGGTTGCGTGCTACCTTAATGACCATAGTTTTGTCAAGTATTTAAACTCCATTAACCAATCAACCTGACACTGTAATACTCATTTTCCTAATCATCAGAGAAACTCAACAGGTAGTCAAGTTCAGTGGCACTGTGATGAATGAAGAGATTTACTGTAATTAATATAATGAAGAGAAAGTGCTATACCCATAGGGAGAAAGGCATACTACATTTGGGGAACATAAGATAATCATGTTTGATTAAGGGGGAGGGTATCTACCATTCCTTGAATCAAGAGCCCTTAACCAGCATGACGGTACCCTCTTTCCCTCCTTGGAGAGTTGTATGCACATTATAGAAGTGTGTTAAAACAAAATGTAATGATAGCACAAAAACTTATAGCAGAGCCAGCCATTATCTGCATGTCATTTCGCGCCCGTGTCCCTGATCATTGCTTCAAAATTCATCTGTTAGCGAAATGTGAAATTAGTCTTAATCTCCTGTAAATATGTGTCCTATCATACCTGTCTTTTTTTCTTTCAAAGCAACTAATAAATCACCTGGTTGAGACAGACACCTAGCTTGCCCAAACCCTGCTTCTGGGCCCACTGCCACCCGTTGCCTGCGTGGGCAGGAGCAGGAAACTCAGGCAGCACCCGAACCCCTCTCACACGACCGTATTCCACCAGGTGCCGAACATCTGCCGCCCGATAGATCTCACGGGGTGAATAGGCGCCAAAGAAAGCCATTCTGGGTAGGCTCTCAAGGTACAGTGGAAAGGAGTGTGTGTCTGTGATGTGCCAGTGGAGTGTGTTGAGCTTGCTGGCCGCCATTGCGTCCAAGGTGCGTTCAATGGCCCTCACGCTGAAGAAGTTTCGGGAGGTATCAAGGAGAATGCCTCGGTACTTGTAGACTGGAGCGTCGACCACTGCCGCCGTAGACACGATCTGTTAACGCCAAGTATATTAGATGACGACACATAAGAAAGTATACTTCAACATCCTGATATACAATAATAACAATTAGTAGTAGTAGCAGTAGTATTAATAGTTTTGGTTCAATTCAGTATAGTTCTTCACCAAATGTGGCATAGTATAAACATCATATATTGCATACACCTACATTTACACAAATAAAATACTGCTGCACTATGCATTCCTCAGTAGGAGTAGTAGTAGTAGTATATGAAGCCGTAAACCCGTAGTTCATTCGATCCTCCGTTCCATAATCGTGAGTCAGAAACCTGGCCCTGGCAATCAGGATTTCCTGAGCCTACCTGAAAAACGCGTTACCTAAAAACGCAAGCCAGCTGAGCCTACCTGAAGAACGCCAGCCAGTTCATCGTACTCGATCAGCTGAGAGAGCGTCTCCAAGGCATGACGTGCGCCGAAGAAGTCACCAGCGAGGACTGTAGCATTGGTAACGTCCCCCCGGGTGGTGATGCCCAGGGTGTAGGCCTCTGACGTCTCCAGTGACAGTCTAGTGACTCTTCCTGTAACAGTTACAGCTACGAACACACGATGACTGGTCACCTGTTCACGATTAAAAATAAGTATTATAAAAACACAAGTCACATTAGAAATCCTGTATTAAATGCATAAGCCATACTTGTAACAAAGGACATTAATCCGAACGTATTCTTTAATTCATGGTTTAAAGAACATGGTGATTATTAGACGGAGTATCAAGCCTCCAGCAATCCTTGTGTTGAATGACTCACAAAGATTAATTAAAACACTAACCAGTGACCACCTCCTTGGATCGAAACCGATTATTTGAGTGTTAGATAGGAGTGAATGGAGACGAATGGTTTTTGGGACCTGACGAGCTGTTGGAGTGTGAGCAGGGTAATAATATTTTGTGAAGGGATTCAGGGAAACCGGTTAGCCGGACTTGAGTCCTGGAAATAAGAAGTACAATGCCTGCACTTTAGAGGAAGGGTTTGGGATATTGACAGTTTGGAGGGACATCTAAACTGTCGTATCTGAGCGCCTCTGCAAAGACAGTGATTATGTATGAGTGATGATGAAAGTGTTGAATGGTGAAAGGTTTTTCTTTCTTTTCGGGTTTTTCTTTCTTTTGGGGTCACCCTGCCTCGGTGGGGAAACGGCCGAAGTTAAATAATAATAAATAATAACTTTAAGCAGTGACCTACAGACTCCAATGAGACAATTATGTTTCAAATGCATTATTTCGGAATATTCTTGTTAATTTAGCTGCTCTATATTTTTTTTAATAATACATTTATTTTTGGTTGTGTATTTATTAAATATATGTTTAATGTTATAAGACACTTTAAGTGAAGTTTTCCCCCTTTAATACCTGTTTGTGGAAGGGGCCCATCACCGTTGCTTTGCCTCCTCCCTCAGGTATGTTTTTTCCCACATTGTCTCTGAAGATATGGAAGGCCTTCTCTACCAGTTCCTTTACTTGATCCGTCGGAGCTGTTATCCCTCGCAGCGTCAGGGACTCCAGCAGGAAGTGGACAGTCTGTTGGATAAAAGGGTTGAGTTGTTACTTTATCAAGAAGCGGACAGTCTGTTGGGTAAGTGGGCCGAATGTTTCATTATCAGGAAGTGGACAGTCTGTTCGGTAAAACAGCATAAACTTCATTATAACCCTTTACCAATACTCCACCTCTAAAATCTACATTACCAATAATATCAACGGTAATCTAAGTAACAACTCAAAAGTACTTTCATTACCAACAATACCGTTAACAACAATTCTACTGCCATCTCTATTAAAAACAACACTACAATCAACACCTGGAACTGCGCCACCCAGACCCATCAACATCACTATCCACCTCACGACTAACAATATATCATAATTTCGTAACACACGCAAGGATTTTCTCAACTCCCCGGAACTGCTTCACATCCCCCAGCAATAGTTTATTAAAAAGTCCAAAGTCATAATCACGACTTCTTTCAAAACCATGATGAACCTTTAATACTTCCGATTTAAATAAATCAGAATGAGTAGCTTTAAAAATAGGTTAGACAGGATGAAAATTAGACACATGTGTAACATCTGGGTATCTTTATTGTAGATTTTTCGCCAACCAGTGGTTTAACAATACAAATTTAAGGACATAAATGAAAGACAATAGAACTATAGACAAAAGAAGAGCCAGCTTTCTTGCTTGTGCTTCAGACTCTTGTTGGTATTGTGTACTATTCATGTACAGGTTAGACAGGTACATGAGTAGGTGTGACTTGGACCTGCCTAGCATGGGCCAATAGACCTGCTGCAGTGCTCCTTCTGTATGTTCTAATGGCTTGACTGGGTTACCTTAGGTTGGATCTACATAATTTATCACTAACGTATGCCTACAAGACTTATTTACTTTCTAAACTATTGTACAAATTTATAATGCTGTCTGGAAAATTATTTACAAATTTCCTAAAAGCAGTAGTGCTTTATTTGCCACTAAACAGGACAAGTGTCTCTCGACACTAGAAAGCAAAGTTTTTACCCCATTTAAAAAAAATCTTTCCACATACTGTAGTAATGACCTAGGATTTTCTGAATGAAACCGATCTTCAATATGATAATGGTATGTTGTGTCTAATTTTCATCATGATAATGGTATACTAAGTTGATAAGTAAGACACGTTTCAAAAAGCCTACTGTGTATGCGAAACGTTTCGGAATGAAAATACCTAACTGTTCCACAAGTGTCTTTATCAAAGCTTGTTTTATCTCAACAAGGACTCACCTGTGGAGCTATTTTGAGGAAGCCTGTGGGTGAGGGCCAGATGGTGCTGTCTTGACCACAGGTCAGTTTACATGTGCTGAGATCAGCTAGGCTGCGAACACCATCGTTCTCCTGCTTCACGCATGTCTCATTTATACACCTCCATCCCCATGGACTCGTTAACCTGAGACATACAGAGTAGTCACACTCCTAGAACACTAATGTTTCTTACCTTTGATTTTTTATATGGGTTGGTCGGTTTATTTGGTTCAAAATCTATCGACTACACGAGGATTTAAGGCAACATGTTACTTGTACACCATCAGCTAAGGATCCTGTAATCCCTAAAACATCCCCGAGTTTACTTTAATCCCTAAAATATGTGATTAAAGTAAACCCAGGGCATATAATTCTGACAACATGGTGAATTATTGCAAAAAATTGGATCTTCGATGTTTAACATTATTAGGATACAGAAACTACCACCAAGACATACTTAGTACGTACTGCCAGACACCAAAGTAGTTAAAAATATTTCTCTTTCACCAAAGGAAAGATCAAAGTCGCTGCTGCTACTACTACTATTACTACTACTGCTGCTGCTGCAACTACTGCTACTACTATTACTACTACTGCTGCTGCTAATACTACTACTGCTGCTACTACTACTACTATTACTACAACTACTTCGCACCATTTCCTTTGGTTCCTGTATGTCTTCCTTCTCGTTGCTCTTTGTTAGACTGGACGAAATATCTTGTGTCTTATTCTCCGTACATAAACCCGTATATGGAGTGGAAAATCTACTATCACATCTTACTTATTTCAAAACATAGGCATTCCCATCTATGTGCCCTCAAAAACATTATACAATTTTTTACATCTATTTGTAAAACAATTTGAAGATTTTTTCTAAGTGAAAAAAAAACTTTTTTCTGCAAATGATGAAGCAGGAAGCCAGCTTAGAGCTTCGTCCAGTCATTAAAAAGTTCTACTAAGCTGGTCAGTATATGACTAAGATCCCCAACACGAATAATGTTCATATTTCTCCTGACAAATAGTCACCACCTAGTGGTCAGACAGGTTTCCCAGGTCGACCTAAGATAAACTGTCAGGTCAACTTCCAGAGGTTAAAAATAGACTTGATAACTACCTGCGTGGATATTTGGTGTGTGAACATGACCACTCTAACACCTGCCATTGAATAGGCTTACTGCAGCGTTTCTTTATTCTTATGTTTTAATATGGAGCTGTGGAGGTGTGACCAGGAGGCCTGGTCACAGACCGGGCCGCGGGGGCGTTGAACTCTCTCCAGGTAAACTCCAGGAAGGTAGGCTTGATGCAAGGAAGGAAATGGTAACTCCAGTTCCTTATATCAAAAGCCCTTCATCAGCTCCTCCCTTGAAGGAGAGGTTGAGAAGCATTGCGACGAGTGTGCCACAACAGGGTAAAATCAAATAACTTTAATACTGCAGCGTGACCTATGACCTGGTGGAAAGTATAGTGGGAGGTGGCACTGTAACGTGAACTTAAACTTAAGATCAGTCCACGTTTAGAGTCCCGACATTATAAATAATTATAACTTAAACTTTAAATTATACCTTAACATTTTTCTTTAAAAAATTAATAAATATCGTTACACAAGGATTTTTTATAACAAAAAGAAACGTCTTCCCATATATATAAATATATTATATAAATTCTATAATATGTATGATTAACACTATATATCTATTATATCAACTCCTGGTATTTTTATATATAATATATAATATATATATATATATAATATATATATATAATATATATATATATATATATATATATATATAATATATATATATATATATATATATATATACATGTGGAAAATTGCATTTATCTGAATGTAACTCATTATGTACATAACAGAAAATGATAACAAAGATAATTATTATTTATCAGAGTTACATAGACAAGTAGGAATTTGGGACACCTAGGTCGCAAAAAATGTCCCCCTTCGATACCTACCACTGTCATATCCACAAGTTGCTCTGGACCTATTAATCATAAATGATTTGTATCACCAGGAATGCTGGTAAATATATAAATTTGTGGACTGTATATTAAAAATAATAAATTATAGATACACATATATACACATTTACACAACAGAAGGAGAATATATCTTAATCATAACACTCACCAATTTGACTGGAGATTAATGTGTCATGTACAGGACCCCCCCTTTTGCCAACATTTATGAAGAATTTACTGGCCAGAAATTAAACATAATTTAGACAGCTTATCTGAGGTTCCTGGAGTTGTCCTGTCCTGTCGCCTGATTCTCAAATTATGCAGGAATGCACATCCAACAATTTCGCCTCCTATTTGAGAGGTGTCAGCCCAATTTTAACCTCTAGAGCACGAAAAATTCTTCCCATTATTCACAACGTGTTATTCAATTCAAACAAAATGGCGACTCTCCCTTCTCCCCAGGCTGTTTCCCATTTTCTATGACATAAATGTTATTAAATACAGTATGGCCATTTATATACATATAAATACTGAATTTCTGGAAAATATATACAGTGTTTTCCACACATGTATATAAATTTTTGCTTCGTATATGTTGTAATGCATTACATTGTACAAATTAAAAAAAAAGTAAATTTTGGAGTTAAGCTTTGGCCCAAACAATATCAAGAAAGCTATATTGTTCTGTATGACAAAATAAAATCAACATTGATAATGTGGGTATCATCGATAACTCAAACATCACTTGAACCGATCTGACACATCGAAATTTTATAAACATTAATTAACTTTCTAGCCTCAGTAATGGCACCCAACACGAAATGAATTTGAATCTCTTGAGAAGGCACGAAGAATGAGTTTCATACACTAGTATGAAACATTATACCTGAAGGTATAATGAGTTTCAAAATATACCTGAAGGTGGTGCTGCAGGGTGGGACGCTGAAGACCAGACACACCAACAGGAAGATCCTCCCCACATCTGACGCTACTTTTGTAATCATTGTCTTATCTGGAAATAAAATTAAAACTATGCTGTCACAAAATAGTTACGATTATGCTGTTTTTTAGACGTGAATCATTATAATACTAACGGGGAAGAGCTAAACCAGAAGGGGTCATAAACTGTCAGGAGAATGGGGGAGGGGGTAATCGTGTTTGATTGAAGGGGAGGATAGGTCCAGTTCCCTGGATCAAAATCCCTTCGCCAGCATCATGGTACGAGGGAGACAGGTTGAACAGTGGAATTCACATCAATATCTCCGCAGTTGATGGTGACGAAAATGGTAACCCTAAACCATGTTAGTGACCTACATGCATGACGATGATGGTGATGGTGATCCATAACCATGATGATGGTGATCTATAACCAAGATGATAGTGACCCAGAAGTATAATATTGATCCTTCGCCTACTTTCTCTCGATGGGTGTGTATGTTTCATGGGCCAACACCCACTGCCAGACACACTTAGGATAGTATCATACACCCCTTCCCAAGCACACATAATTACGACATATAAGATTCTTAAGAGGCTTTGACAGAACAGATAGGGGCAGACTTTTCTGAAATCAGAGGCAAATATTTTTTTTAGTCTCAAGAGTGGAAAATAAATGAAATAGATGAGGAAGTGGTAAAGGCAAACTCAATACACATTTTCAATAATGCCAGCGTTTAAGAGACGAGGCCAGGAACTTAGCCTCGACCCCCGCAAACAATTCGGTGAGTACAACACACGCACACACACACACACACACACACACATTACAGTTTCCATCCTTTGTTCTCTATCACTATTAATTTCTGTGCGATAATCTGATAACACTTACATCATCCAGCACTTACATCATCATTTTGTGATTGGAAAGAGCAGTTCCCTTGTGGATGATTTTATTAAATACTATTTTTTTGTGTGGTTGGAAGGGGTTTCTTCCTTGGCTACTGGAGCAATAATGAATAAAATATGGGGTCAGGAGCTGAGACACAACCTCCGTAACTACTACTAAGTGAGAACACAGAAAGTGAAAGCAATAACTCCTTCACCTTCTTGGAACGCAAGGACAAATCTTTTTAAATATGACATCATATGCAATCTTTCCAGTCAAGTTGGTCTACGTCAGCAATGTGCATCTTTACGTTAACCTTATTATCAAGACGCCTCATAGATCTTTTAACACATCACTTAGATCTTTGCTTACTTATAATCACGTCTCTCCTTCCTGCCACTGAAGGCTACTCTTAAAAGCGCAACACTAAAGGCCGAATGTTAAACTGCATGCAGCATCCAACACCAGGACAATAATATAGACGATAGGAGTAGGACTTGTCAAAACATTAGAATTTATGATACTCTGTACTGGTATTTCATTCTTTAAAAGTAGAGCAATACAAATCATTTTTATAGTAGCGATTCCCTTTTTTTGGTCGTCTTTCGGCAAATTTATAATAATAATCTGTATCTTTTGGCATCTCGACAAATTCAATACCCACATCTCTCGTCTCTTAAACCAGCACTCAAACCGGATATCGTTTTCATTCGCTTCTGTTCATTTTTAAACCATCCACTTATCTCTACATTATTCCGTATATTAATACTATTAATACTAAGTCCCATCACACTAAGATATACCTGAAGCCACAGTGATGCTCCGTTTATAACGTGAACAAAACAAATTCCGTCTTTTACATCAGTTCCGTTTTCTTTGGGAGATGTTTGTAGGTGGCACCACAAGGCCGTCTGTGAACCATGACTTCAGGTAAACTTTATTAAATGTTGAAATTCCTTTGAAATTAATGAAAAATTATTGCTCAACTCTGGATTCTCTCTCATACCTCTGTTTATGTGTCTTCACACCTGCTACTGTTTTGCTCATCGACAACTAAATAACAGAGGCAAATGAGAAATTAACTACTTCCTTTACTGTGGCCATGGACGATGCACATCCGTGTGGACATGCAAAAGCTCATGGCCATGGAGGATGCATGGAGGGAGGGGGTGAAAGAGGGGTCGTCGGGTGACGGTGGGTGAGGCAGGGAAGGTGTTGTATGTTAGGGGGTGAGGCCTGGCAGGAGGCATATGTTAAGGAAGGGAATGAAAGGGGCCGTGGATTGAGGCAGGAATGTGAATGAGAGGTCGTGAGAGAAGAAAAAGGGCGTGGATTGAGGCAGGTGTGAAGTGAGGTAGGGAATCATAAGGTGAGAGAGAAAGAGAAGGGCGTGGATCGAGTACATAGGAAAGACAGATGGCAGAGGACTTAAAAGTTAACATCAAGCCTATCTGCTGAGAAGTATCTACTTCTACCTAGATTTAGGACTATCATGTATTATATACGTGTATGTGTCAAGGACAGAAAAGCAGAAGGATCTCTCCCTACGCTTCAGCAACTGCTGGCATTAAAACAAGGGAAAAATATACGATATTATAATAAAAAAATACAGATATAGAACTGAATAAAAGACGTAGGCTACACTACCTCTACTAAATCATTAAGTTTTTATTCGGGTACAGGTACACATAAATACAGTTACATAGTTTATCATACATAGAAGCATATGTGTAACTACCTAGGATAACCCAAAAAAGTCAGTGACATATCCATTGGGGTCCTTAAACTATTCCTTTTGCTCCACTGCCTTTCACAAAGCTGTGTACTTCCTAGTAGTTCTACTTTTGGGTACCACCAGGTCTGTTATGTCTGTCACAGCCCTGTACTTCTATTATTGACTCGGTTGCCTAATTTCAAACTGGCAGAAGTGTGCAGTAAGGTAGGGGTCGTGAGGTGACAGGATTAAATCAAGGGGGGGATAAAAGCTGAGATAAAGACAACTTTCTTTACCCTGCAGGCCACTGGCGAGACAAAAATTTCTCTCACACTGAGCTTGACACTCCGGCTGCAGGAACGAGCCTTGCTTTTTGTAAGAGAAAGCAAAGGGAAGGAAAGAGCGGAGAGAAAACGTAACACCAGAAAACAGACAAAAGAAAAATACACCACGAGAAAGTACATTTAAATTTCTTATTAGTTCAAGCTTTCCTAGATTCAAATTTTCCTTTTTTTTATTAATATGAGAAAAGTGAGAACATGATTTCAATTTTTATATTTACGAGTAACATAATGAATTAGTCACATCAAGAAGTCGTTGTGTACTACCATACAACTTCACCTCAGTTGCCTTTAAGGGGAGAGAGTATCTTGTTGCTGGTGAAGGGATCTGGATTAAAGGAATTAGATCTACCCTTTCTTAGATCAAACGTGACTACCTCCCATTTTTCAGGCGCTGTATGACCTTTACGGGTTTCCCGCATCCCCGTGAATATAATATACATTTATTTAAAGTATACAGATTGTATACTGTGAAGCTTAGTGTATCGTCACCTCGTAGAGATAATAATGGAACTGGTTAATCGAAGACAGTGACGTAGCTAGGCAGTAACAGAACGAGGGACAGGTTATCCCCTATACATGTAGGCAGTGATAGGAGAATATGGTCCTCCCTTGACATGGGAAGTACCGATTCTCCTGTTCTGTTCTATGGTACCACCAGACCATTCCCTCCTTATCCCCCTGATTGCAACAGTTAGGTGCCAGCCGCGAGCTGCGAAGGACGATGCTTAAATCAATTACAGTTTCTTGTCCCACCGAGTCCACTTTTACTTCGTTGTTTTTCCAGTTTTATGTCCATGCATCACGTCAGCGTTGAGTGTACAGTTTAAATCTTCCCTCCGGCGCCCGAAAGTCTTTTTCCTTTTCAAAAGATCACTACCTCATTAAAATTATTTTTAATATAGTTTTTTTTTCAATAACTTGTCTTCATCGACTCCGGAAGTTTTATGGTATGTCAGTCATAGATTCAAAGCTTTTACGGGGACGACGTGTCGCTCTTCGAAGAGCTTATTTAAGACATGACTTGATAAAGCTCTACATAGTTAAACGTTGTCTCAATACAAGTTGTCTCAGTATGTTAACTGCGTTGCAGTTGCCACCAGCCTTGAACATGCAGATAACCCCATGTCCTCCCTCTGACCCATCGTTTTCCTTTTGCATACCATTATTACTTTTTTAGGTTTTCACTGTTTCATCGATCAGTAATCTGGATTAAAAGTTTAACTTTGGGAGTGTCGAATGTATTAAGACATACTGATCAAGCTCGTGAACAAAACACGGTTCAAGTGGAGGGCAGATGTAAACTCGTTGGAGCAGTGAAAGAGATGATTTCAAAGTATGTGAGAAGCAAGATATAAGGTAGAGGCAGTGAATAGTGTGGTAAAAGGAGAAAGAAGAGTGAAAGGAAAGATGTGTGGAAAAACGGGTTAAGTGTGGGAGGGCAGGGAGTGTGTGGGAGAGGAAAGGTGAAGTATGGGAGAGGGCAGGGAATGTGTGGGAGAAAAAAGCAGGAGATAAGTGTGGAAGGCAGGGGAGATGAGTGTGGGAAAGGCAGGGAAGATAGTGTGGGAAAGGCAGGGAATGATGTGGGAAAGGCAGGGAGATGTAGTGTGGAAGGCAGGGGAGATGAGTGTGGGAAAGGGCAGGGGAAAGTGTGGGAAAGGGCAGGGGAGATGAGTGTGGGAAAGGGCAGGGGAGATGAGTGTGGGAAAGGGCAGGGAGATGAGTGTGGGAAAGGGCAGGGAGATGAGTGTGGGAAAGGGCAGGGGAGATGAGTGTGGGAAAGGGCAGGGGAGATGAGTGTGGGAAAGGGCAGGGAGATGAGTGTGGGAAAGGGCAGGGGATGATGTGGAAAGGGCAGGGAGATGAGTGTGGGAAAGGGCAGGGGAGATGAGTGTGGGAAAGGGCAGGGGAGATGAGTGTGGGAAAGGGCAGGGGAGATGAGTGTGGGAAAGGGCAGGGGAGATGAGTGTGGGAAAGGGCAGGGGAGATGAGTGTGGGAAAGGGCAGGGGAGATGAGTGTGGGAAAGGGCAGGGGAGATGTGTGGGAAAGGGCAGGGAGATGAGTGTGGGAAAGGGCAGGGGAATGAGTGTGGGAAAGGGCAGGGGAGATGAGTGTGGGAAAGGGCAGGGGAGATGAGTGTGGGAAAGGGCAGGGGAGATGAGTGTGGGAAAGGGCAGGGGAGATGAGTGTGGGAAAGGGCAGGGGAGATGAGTGTGGGAAAGGGCAGGGGAGATGAGTGTGGGAAAGGGCAGGGGAGATGAGTGTGGGAAAGGGCAGGGAGATGAGTGTGGGAAAGGGCAGGGGAGATGAGTGTGGGAAAGGGCAGGGGAGATGAGTGTGGGAAAGGGCAGGGAGATGAGTGTGGGAAAGGGCAGGGGAGATGAGTGTGGGAAAGGGCAGGGGAGATGAGTGTGGGAAAGGGCACAAGAGATAATTGTGGGAAAGGGCAGGAGAAATAAGTGTGGGGGGATAAAAGAGGTATGATGAGTGTGGTATAGAGTAAGACTAACAAGTGTGGGAGAGTAGTACTGCTCACCACAGACGTCACCACCACCAGTGCTCAACAAGGACTGGTCACTCGCCTTCCTAACTTCACTTTCTACCCGTTCCCCGTCTAACGACCCCCTAGCTTTGGCTCCGGCTTAGGCCTCACCACCTCCTTTGTTTATCTCTCTAAACCCCACATTTCCCAGCTTTTTACCTAGTTTATATTAATTTCAATAGGTACTTAGCTGTAGAAAACGCGATATTCTACTTTAATGTGCCAGTACAAAATTATTCTTTTATTTTGGTTATGGTAATTCACGCAAACGTAAATGTTGCAATGCCAAAGATACAGTCAGGGAAGGACCTCCGTGCCCCCATCATGGCACGAGAATCTGTTTTTATGTGTGTATTCACCCTGTTGTACATTGAGTTGGTTGAGTTCCAGCTCTTGGGCCATCCTAAAAAGACCTTCATTAACCAGAATGCATATATGATGAATTCGTGCACCTTAGTTCTTATAATTCACCGACTTTATACCTCCGAATCAACCTTTTGAATTTTGCGCTTTTCAGAGCTATTAATTATTATTATTATTATATATTTTTTCAATCTGTGATGGAATTCGTCTTTTATTACCTCTTTTCATTCATTTCCCCCACAAGGGAGGTTCCTTGATGCTGGTGAGGGGCTCTTGATCTAGGGAATTGGATCTGTGCTCCAGTTCCCTGAATTAAGCTTGAATACCTTCCTTCCCACTGGCGCTGTATAATTCCTTTGGGTTTAGCGCTCCTCCATGATGATGATGGTTTACCTTTAGAAGGTTTCGAGGGTCAACTCCCCCGAGGCCCTGTCTGAGACCAGGCCTCATGGTGGATCAGGGTCTGATCAACCAGGCTGTTACTGCTGGCCGCACGCAAGCTGACGTACGAACCACAGCCCGGTTGG